CACTATCATATACCTTCAGAAGACGTGAAATATACTCTTTTTGGAGCTTGACAAGACCATGGTAAACATAAACTGTCATTGTATGGAAAAGCAGTCTGGACGTTCTGCTAAACATTCTTTTGTGTTTACCTGAAGGAAAAAAAATCATACTTGGTTTGACTGACATGGAGAGAGGAAGACAGAACTATTGTGAACTATTGTGTAAATAATTTCTTTAAATAATAAAGTCATTTTCTTTTCTTGGTTGCACAGTTAAGTAGAAATTAAAAGTTTATTTCAACACCATGGTCATTTTAAATATCGTCATATGCCATAAACAAATTACCTACAGTAAGACATTGCAAAAATACAAAAATAATGTAATTTACTCAGTGAAATTTAAATGCTTGGCTAAAGCTGTAATCTCAAAAGAGAATTCTATGTAAATAATCCTAAAGCATGCACAATCTCATGTACAAATAATATAAATATTTACATACATTCAACATGAATGCAATCTTACTCTTGGTTAAAATTAAAGCGCAATGAACTGGTGTTATGTTGTTTTGAAAAACGTCCCCAATCCAGACATTTTTAGACTGGAAAAATCTTTGTTTTGAACATTGTTTATAGATTTACAGGAATATAATTTTAGTATACCATACCTTGCCCAAAGGGGCTTTAACAAAACTAATAGATTCTGACGTATTTTCAAGATCAATCAAGATGACTGGTGTTCAAGTGGGCATTTTTGCAAAAGGTTCATTTTTAAATGGTAAAGAATCTGTGCGTCACTTTTTTTAAGGGACTGGTCCAAACGAAAACAATATTTCTGAAAGATTTTTTGCTTGACTGGTCAAGAGATGATTAATTTCTGTCTTTGTATTTGGTTTAGAGTTCATTTTAATCCACATCCAGAGGCTCCATGGGCATTGTGACCCGTCTAACCTCACACTCGATTCCAGGCCTCATTGGCTTCCACCTTCAATACCATGACTGAGGTGCCCTTGAGCAAGGCACCGAACCCCCAACTGCTCCCCAGGCGCCGCAGCATAAATGGCTGCCCACTGCTCCGGGTGTGTGTTCAAGGTGTGTGTGTGTGCACTTTGGATGGGTAAATGCAGAGCACTAATGCCACATGTCACGTCACTCACTTCTTTAAACCCTCTGATCAAATACGTGAATGTCTTTCACCATTTCAAACTAACTATATGTTGTTTACATATGTAATGCGTCTTCTAAACATGAAGTTTGGTTAAATTATTAAAAAAGGTAAAGGTCATAATTATAAAAAAAAGTATTGCATGATTATGAATTATTATTATTATTTGCAACTCAAAACATTTACTCAAATACAGTGTATTAATCATAACAGGTCAACAGAGGATTCAATACAAATAAATTACATTGTTACATTTGCGCTGTAGGCAAAAGTTGCATTTGGAAATTCTGCCCTTACAGCACCTAGCAGAAACATACCAGATGTTTATCTCATTTTATTTGATTTGCCCAAAAAGAAAAAAATGACACTGCATCATCTTCAAATAATTTAATTATTCTCAGATTTGAAATACATGCTGTGTCACGATGTGGGTAGATGAAGCACACAGCGATGGGGTAATCCAAAAGGTGAGTCTTTAATTATCAATCCAAGAGTGTAATACAGAATAACAGAGGAGATAAGCACCACAACGAAACTTCAAAGCAAGACAAGGGAACTGAGGAAAACACAGGGTATATGAACACATGGAATGTAATTAGGGAGAACAGAAACAGGTGAGGAGTAATCAATCAAAACAGGTGAACAG